CATAAACAAGAAGAAGATGAGAGAGGAGAAAGAAGAAAGAAGAGGTAGTCAAAGAAGAAAGAAGAGGAAGACAAAGAGAAAGAATAAAGAAGAAAAAGAAAAAGAACAAAGAAGAAGAAGAAATGAAGATAAAAAATATAAAGGATAAAGAAGAAGAAGAAAAGAAGACAAAGAGGAGAGAAGAAGAAAAAAAAGAAGGAAGAAGAAGAAGTTGAAGAATAAACAAGAAAAAAAAAAGAAAAAGAAAAAAAAGAAGAAATATAAAAAGGAAAAGAGGAATGAGCTGCTTACCTCTCCTCGTGTGCTGCTCTGCTGGATCTTTCTCTCTCTCTCTCTCTCTCTCTCTCTCTCTCTCTCTCTCTCTCTCTCTCTCTCTCTCTCTCTCTCTCGGGGTCACGAATGTGACCTCCGGAGCCGTCACGACGACCTCAATGGCCGCGGACATGTCCTCGCGGCCGCGCCCTCGAAGGGCTGCCACGTGGCAAATGTTGACCAACCACATGGTCTGTCTCTCTCTCTCTCTCGCGCGCGCGCGCGTGCGTGTGCAGCTCTTGACGTCGTTGACGACAACAAAACAGCAACAGGTATTTCTGTTGTTGTTTCAGATAGATGCATAACTTTATCTGAAACGGCAACAAGAACACCTTTAGGCCGTTCGTTTTTTGTTGTCGTCAACGAAAACGACCACAATGGGCCTCTCATTTTGATTACTGTGAAAAAAAGTTTTCACAGACTGATCGGACATGAAAAAAAAAAAAAAAAAGACATGGTCCAATGGAAAGGCAGTTGTTCGACACAAAAAAAAACACCAAAAAAAAAATTTGCCCTTCGAAATTATTATTATTATTTTTTTTCGGTGTCTATTTTCAGTTATATATATTTTTTAATGCCTAAACGACATTGGACGTTGTTTTAAAAAATACCGGAGTGTAGAGTTAAAAAAACTCTACATCCCTGTATTTTTTATTTATTTTTTACGATTTTGTTTCGAATGAAAAAAAAAATTCCAAACTCGGGACCGTGGCATCTTGGCCGCATCCGACCTCGACGGTCGGGTACCCGACCGCGGGCCGAGATGGACCCCGCGGTCATGACCGCGGGGGATACATAGTTCGGAGGGTTTTGGGCGCTTGTTCGCGTTCGGGCAAACATGTTCGCGTTCGCCTCCGAACGCGAACACGGTGCTACGTAGGCAGCGGGAAACGACAAACTTCGAAGGGGAACGAAAACCAACAAAAGAACATGGGACGAATTGGCGCGACATTTATTTCACGATCTTAAATATATATATATATTTTTTTAATATTTTTCATAGAAAATTCACAACCCAGTCTACAGACCTATCAATTTTCAGAGTTGTGGAGTCATCCTTCTGAGCGCAAAAAATCGTAGAAGTTGGGGTACTTTTCCCGTTGGCCGTCACATGATACATCAGCAAGAGACCCCAAAAAAGGAATATAGGACGAATTGGCGCGGCATTTATTTGACGATCTAAAACATTTTTTTAATTTTTTAAAATATTTTTCGTAGAAATATCACGACCCAGTCTACATTCCTATCAATTTTCAGAGTTTTTGAGTTATCATTCTAAGCGCAAAAAATCGCGGAATTTAGGGTACGTTTCCCATTGGCCAACACGTGCAAGAATGACAAAAATGGACAGTGCAATGAAACGGCGCGGCATTTATTTCACGGTCTAAATTTTTTTTATTTATTTTTTTTTTCTAGAAAGATCACAACCTAATCTACGGGATCTCAATTTTTCAGAGTTTTTCCTCAATTTGTCTGAGCGCGAAAAATCGCCAGATTTGGTGCTTGAAGATTACGGGTCTGGACCCGCCTGCCACACTGTGCAACGTTAAGGTTTGGACACACAGGCACATTCTGACCTGTCAGCTGCTTGACGTTGGATACACTTCATAAAGAAGCAGTCCCCAGAACCACACAGGTAAAGAAACAGTCCCCCAAACCACACAGGGACCCAATCCACCTGTGTGGTTAGGGCAGTTGCGTATTTCAAATTTGTGCATGGGTTCAAACCCCAACAACAACCATTGATAGCGAACTTCAAAATATTAATGTGTGTGTGTGTGGGCGTGTGCAGGGTGGGTGGAACGGGGGGCAGGGATGGGGGTCTGAGGGTGGAGGTGGGTGACTGCCTGCAACGCACCCACCACCCCGCTTCCTTTTGTCAGTGTCGACATCGGAAAACTTGCGAAAATGAAAAGAAAGCACCGAAACGATGAATAAAAAGAAACTTGCGAAAACGAAAAGAAAGCGCCAAAACGACGAAAACTTGCGAAAACGAAAAGAA